TCCTTCCCTTTCTCAACATAACCCAATGAAGCCCTATCCCCTTTTAGAGAGGGAGGAATTTAAAACAAAAAAAATGGCGTAACCCAAAAATCCCATTATTGGCTTTTATACAAGCCACGCTATTGGCTTTTATACAAGCCACCTAGGGACAAAAAAAGCTCCCAAGCAAATAGTAAAAAACAAAATCATCCAAAACGTGATTTTTTTATCACCATTCAACAGTCTGGAACACAAACCTTTCAGATTTCTTGGGGTCCTAACTTTTTTTTCTCTGTGGATCACAAAATTTCTTTTGTCATCTTCGTCAGATCCATCTAGTTCTTTCCAAAACCATGCACCAAATAACCAAAGAGCAAGAAGAACGCAGGCATGGAAGATCCATGAACAACTGCGCCTTTGGTCCCTATCGTCATAACAAACCAGTCATGTCTATCGCAAAAGAAAAGAGCTTGAGCCTTATAGAAAGGGAGACTCAACCCCTTCTTCTCCGCATTAGCCACGGATTTTGATCTGCGTCCGCCATCAAAGCTAAATCAAAAGCTTCAATTTGGAAAGTGCAGGGAGGAGATCTGGCATCAAAGCTAAATCAAAAGCTTCAATTTGGAAAGTGCAGGGAGGAGATCTGGCATCAAAGCTAAATCAAAAGCTTCAATTTGGAAAGTGCAGGGAGGACATCTGGTATCAAAGCTAAATCAAAAGCTTCAATTTGGAAAGTGCAGGGCCTTAAAATAAAAGCTTTTTCTCTCGCAACTAAACCTTTTCTCTCGTTTATAGCCTCAAATTCCTGAGGCCATCATCAAGGGAATCGAATCCGCGAAATCTACTATACGATTAGTGTAGCCGTCAATGTTCTGCGGCATAACCAACACGCAATTGATTGTTTAATATTGAAACATTTCGCACTAAGTACACACTTTAAGGTTTTTTTTTTAAAAAAAACACTTGATTTAGGCAAGTTGATCAAATTCACCTTTAAAGTTTTTTTTTTTTAAAAAAAAGCACTAAACTTAGGCAAGTTGATCAAATTCACCTAAATAATCGGCTTTGCCAAGACCCGAATAACTTGGCCGAATCAATTTTTTGAACACTGGTTCGAACTAGTTATAAATGGCTAGATGTCTTCCTCTAGTCTATCTTCCTTGACCCTACACCCCAGTTAGGGCTCTCTCTCTCTCTTGAACACACGCGCCAAGCCCATAGTATCTCAGGCCCTCCATCTCAGGCCCCACCTCCTCAATCTCCTCTCTATGAGTTTTTAGGCCCTACATCCACAATATCTTCTCTGTGAGCCCTCCCTCTCTCAAAGAGGGTTTTATTTTTTTAGAGGATTAAAAATTATGTTGGGAGTTTTTTTTTATTTGTAGTTTCCTTTATGGGTGTTTATATCATTTTTTTTAGTTATAAAGAATTGAGATATATAATTGAAACATTATTTTTATAAAGATGAAGGTTTGGAATTTAGTTAGGGCTTTGTAGGGAACAAGTTTGGTTTTAGGGTTGTTTTTTTTTTATATAAAATTATAAATCTTAAATAAAAAAATAGAAACAAGAGAATAAAAATTTATTTGGGATATTGTAAAAAGTTCATTTTTTGGGTTGACTCCTTTGCAAATGTTGTGAGAGGGTATAATTCTCACCTTTATTTGTATCATTTATTTTTATAATATATTTATTTTTTCCTTCCCCTTCATCAATTGGTATCGAAGCCTAGAAATCCATATACCATAACACCATCATAATCATCCACTGATCAAATTATAGAGCTGATACTTATAACACCTAGACGATGAATCTATACTCACAACTATGAGCTCCAATTTCCCTGTGAAAAAATTCTACATTTCTTATTTGCTTCTTACCGCTCTTTATGTATATACAAATTTATTAGCTTGTATAAGTATCGTCATAGGTCCTCCGGATACTTTCAAGGATGGCTCACGTAATCAGTAATAAAGAGAAGTACATGTAGATACCCAACTTGGTTAACTCACCTAATCAATAATAAAGAGAAATACATATAGATACCCAACTTTCGAAGATATGTTGTAAGAATATGAACGATGCTTAACTCCAATAACATGAATGACATCCAGCCCCATACCACTTCAACCCTCAACGAATATATATTTGTGCCATGTAGAGATAAGATGCTATTTGAAGTGGTGCCTATTCAAAATTGTGCATCAGGGTGCGACTTCGAGGCACGCTCCCTCCCACAGATACGGCGTGATTCGAAATTGTGCACTCGATTCACCCCTTAGGCGCGATTCGAGTTGCGCCTTGCTTTCTACATGATTGTTAACAATGTGGAATATGATTAGCAACGCATGGCTCATTTGTACGGCTCACGTCTTTGCATTTTAATATCTGCAAAGAAATTGGGCGCAACTTCGAATAGCACCATGGTGTATGAATTCAAATTGTGCATGCAGAAATAACAAAAATATAGCAGAATACTAGGGTCCACATTCAGTAAATATTATTACTATTGTTTATTATTGTTATTGTTATTATTATTATCATTATGTTTTTGTTATTATTTTTTAACCGCCGAACATTTTATCCCACAAAGCATGATTAGTCTTATAGCCATCCTATAGAGCGTCCCCTTTAGTTCCAATAGTATGTGACAATCACATAAAACTCCATATGTACATTTACACTTTGTCCACCTAATTTTAATTTTATGTACGACATCTTTCTCAATCTTTCAATTTTCTTGGATTATCGACTCTAGATATCGAAAACAATATCTTTTAGGTATTTCTTGACTATAAATCTTAATTTTCTTCATTTTTACTCATATTATTATTAAACTTGCATTCCATATATTTTTAGTTTGAGTAGTTTTAAAACTTTTAGATTCTAGAGTATCTCTCAAACGTTCTACTTTTGTGTTGACACTACCTCTAGTCTCATCAATCAAAACCATGTCATATGCAAATGACATACGCTCAGCACTTCATCTTGTAGGTACCTAATTAACTCATCCATAACTAAAACATGCTCAATATTGACCCTTGGTGTAGGCCCATTGTCACTAAAAATTCACTTATTCTCCAACAGTTGTCTGCACATTATTTACGCTGCTTCGTACATATCTCTCACTGTGTCAATATAACCTATGATGATTCTTTTATTTTCCAATATCCACCAAAGTAAATATCTAGATACCATATCGTATGTTTTCCCTAAAGGATCAACGATTTGGATTAGGAATCATCGGGTTTTAAAACACTAGACTCATGTGAATAGGCCCAATTTTGTAAAAGTCAAATTTATTATTGATAATGTCATAATCACCCTTAGCTTTGGATATAAAATCGAGGTCGCTAGGGGTGTACAATTGACTAGATTAAAAATATCAAAAAAAGTTTTTTTAACTTTATGGTGGACCCCAAGCTATGAGATTTGACAGCTAGCCATGCTTTGACCTCTTTGTACCAAAGACAAATGAGCCTAATCATTTTATGTTAAAGTAGAATAAATGTGGAAAATATTAAAATCTCACAAAAAAAAGAAAAAAATATAAAAAGGAAAAATTTATAGAAAATTCCCTCAAGTATTTTGAATTTTAAAAAAGTCCCAAATATTTTCTATTGGATGTAACTTTTATAAGGCCTAGGCTTTATGAAAATAAAATAAGGCCTCATCTCAAATCCTCATTTGAAAAGCACTTTGGCCATTGGAAGTCTCTATGATGGGTTAAAATTACATTCCAACACTAATTATGAATTATGAAACTCAAAAAATGGTGTAGATTTTGCATATCTGTGAACACTTATTTTTAGGTAGGGTGAGATGGATAGTCTGGATAATTTGTTATAATGTACACTAGTTTTGAGGCATGAACTCCTAATTTTTTTCACAACCATAGTAGTCAAGACTGAGATAATTTGAAGGCTTATCGATGCCAAATTTGCAATATTCATGAGTGTTGAGTTGAGACTTTACTTATTTTGATAGGGCCGCAGCCCTATCAAACCATTTTCTTCTTCTATTTTGTGTTCAAGTCTCACTTTATAATTTTAGACTCTTTTTTGGTTTTTAAAAATAGATTCACCCCATTTTGGACATTGATGTCCAACCAGGCTTTATTTTGGTTTTTAAGCGAAAGGTTCACCTTTGGATGTCCGAACGATTCATTTTTTAGACTTCTTTTTTTTAATAACTAAGCCGATTCTTTTTTGTTTTTATTTTTTTTTAAGGTTTGGGCATTGGATGTTTAAACCAAGGGAACTTTGAAAACAATAATACAAAAAGTGAAACTTAGGCATAAGAAGGAAACTATACCGGGCTTTCCAAAATATTAACATAATATTGGGATTTCTATATAAAGACTTATTATGAGATTCTACATAAACAATTATTATGAGATTTCTATGTAAAGAATATGATGGGAATGAAATGAAATCATGCTACAGTAAACCAAACCACATGCGATTTGAACGGACCACTCAAAAGTAAGACGGTCATTTCATCTTAAGGTGGAAAAAGCTGGGCTGCTTCCTATTTTGGAGTAAGGCCATTTCCCTTCGTCCGCTGTTGCTAGCGCTAGGTTCAAATATGTCGAACCATGTTTTAGACCAATCAAAAGTACAAAAGAAAAAGTGTATATAGAGCCAAGACTCTAAACAATCAAATTAAATACCACCTCAAAAATTTCACTAGAAAAAGGTTGTTTTGAGGCTCAAATATCTTCAAATTGGTCATCTTGACATCAAGATGCATGGATATGAGAAAAAAATAGATTTCAAGTTTTAGAAATATCACATCTTGTAACGCATTTTTGGACCATCAATTTTCAACATTTTCAAGTTTTTATAGATCTACTCGATCTACATCATTTTTTAAGCTTTAAATTTCATATTTAAAAGTGAAAATATATTTTAAGACTACCACAAAGAGTTTCAATATTAAAACCAGATTTCTTGTCACTTTTTAAAGGTGGGCTTTACTATGATTATTTAGAGCGTACAAACCGCACCAAAAGTAAAAGGTAAAATAACCCATGCACCCAACTTCGCAATACTTGCAAACTTGCCCGAAGTTGGGAGCAGCATTTTAAGTAAAAGCCACCGGCAAACAATGCCATCTTTAAGCATAGAGGGAGACGATGCAAGTAGGATACTCTAACGTCTATTCATTTTATGTTAGAGAGGTGCTAGCTGCTTTTAATTATCAGCATAGCATTTCTCCATAACATGAGGCCACATTAGCTCGACTTCATAGCAGAACGGTGGGTTGGTGTTGCTTTATGAATTGGAACGCAAGAAGAGGTGATGCTCATCGACTCCGAAATTCTTTCGAGACTTTATTGCCAAGAAAAATGCAACATCCTTCATTGATACGCCAGACACAGAGAGGGAGGGGTGGATTAAAACTTGACAGAGGAATAGGGGTGATGTTTGTGGAGGTGTTGCAAATTAAAACTTTATAATGGCAGCACCACTTGAAGGCTTCGAAGCAAAGACATAAAGCCCTAGGTCGTTGTTGCTGATCACACCCTTCTGGATCCTTGACTGATAGAAAGCTTCCTGATTAAAGAAGAAAAACAAAATAGTGAAATCTCCAAAAATCTGTGTGCACGCATGTGTACGTGTATGTGCTTGTGTAAATACGCAAATTCATGAATATCCAAATAATCTAAATACGTAAAACACAAATGCACACATACAGAGAGCACAAACACATACAAAGCACGACCTTATTCACATCCAAGTTTGATCACATCTCACGTATGTATATCTTCCCAGATCCACAGTTCACATTTGAAGTTAGGCTCATTGGAAATGTATGGCAAAATCATGTTCGTTTTTTTGGTGAGTCAATGGGAAGAGGGTCCCTACCCTTGATAGGAATTGAACCTAGAACATAGCGTTGCAAATTGTCAAGCGCTAGCCAATTAAGCCCAGGCTCTTTTCCTAAGAACATGTTGATGTCGGTAGTAGGAAAACATAAGAAGCAGCAAAAAAAATTCCATTTTCAAACACAATAATCATCATATTGATCTCAATTATACTCAAATAGGGCCTGAATTTCAATAAACTACAGATATTACCCTTACGGGGAGAGAACTAAGAAATGTCCATTTAAAACAGTGAGCAGCTTACCAAGTTTTAAGTCCCACACTGGTAAAACAAAATGGGACCTCATGTTAAACAACAAAACATTTTCAACTTGGTAATGCAATAAATGAGGAGAGTAATCAAAACTTGCCTTTAGATTAAGGATGAACGAAGGGACTATGCTTTCCTTCACCAATGCAACCGCACAACCACCCCACCCTGCTCCTGTAAGTCTTGCTCCAAGTGCACCGTGCTCACGGCATACTTTAACCAGCTCCTCCAATTCAGGACAGCTGATATAATAAGAAAAATAACAGTTCTCCGGTTACCAAATATATCTAATTATCGATATCTAATCAGTCTATACAAATTCGCGTGCACGCAAGCATACACACACGTCTGGAAAGCTCTCTCTCTCTCTCTCGACACACACACATTACGTACACAACAGATCAGACACCACATGTATAAATTCATGTGTATAGCTCCTTACACATGTAGGATTGTTTATAGGATAGATATAAGAATAGCACATGTACCTGCACTCGTAGAGAACACTGCAGCTGTGATGACTTTCGTTCATGAGGTCTCCAAGTCTTTGTAGCTTCTTCTCATCGCTGTCAAAATAAGGGAAAGCATTAATAGAAAGAAAAATAAAAGCCATCACTTATTACTGGCAATTTTCAGATTTGGGGATATGTATCCAGTTATCAACTTTCAGATTTGAGGTCCTGTTAGCTATGCTTTCAGGCTATCACTATAGCATCAGGCACTTAGCTTGCTAAAGTTTTATGGATCTTGAAGTGAAGGACTAAATAGAGATTTTTCATATGAAAGTCACCTGAGCTCTGATGATACAGCTTCCTTGAACAGGTGCACACGTTTTGCTTCAGAGTAGACATGCAAGGCCCTCTGGACATAAATACAAAAGAAACACAGGAATCAAATAACATAATTTGCTGAAGTAAATAAATACCATTTTAAGCTTCCATTCCTCTGATTCACCCTGCTTCTTTTCAAAACACTAGTTAATTTCTTTTTCCTTATCTTTCGGCAGGGAAGCTGCATAACCACAAGGTTGCAATAACAAGTTCCTTTCCTATGAGTTCGGGGATCAAACAAGTATCTCATTTGACCACCAAAGCTAACTCAACTATTTGATGCATTGTGAAAGAGTTTTGTTCAATTCTTTGAAATAAGAAAAGACCAAATAAGCAATAACTACACCATTTACCTAAAGAAAACTAGAATGATGTTGTATTGAAGATGATTAACTTTTGAGGGCCAAAGTAGATATGTATATTGCAAACTTAGTGGAAAAAAAAGAAGATATTGAAATATTGAAAGCTCGTTAGATATTCATAGGCTCTCTTGAAAGTAAAATTCAGCCTCACCAAGGGACCCATTGGCTGTGACAGTGACTGCATTTGTAGGCTCATCAAATAAATGAGTTGGGATCCAGCCTCAAAGCCGGAAGGTGGAGCTTCTTGGGCCACCAACATCTTATCTTTAGCTAAGAATATACCCAGAAAATTTGGATATCAGATAGAAGTGTGCCGAAGAGTTCCTGATAGCGTGTTAGGACTTAAAGACCATATTTCGCACTGTATTTTACCTATTAGGTTTCCCAAAACTTGTAAGGTAAAATAGCTGCAGAAAAGGAAAAAAAAAAAAACTTCCTCGCAGGTGTTTCTAAACATGATGCTGCCTTAGAAAAGTCATATTTTGATGTATCAAGAAGGTGACACTTTCAACATATTTATTGTGCTTGTTTCCTTGATTCCTGGCATGAGACCTTATGGACCTTACACTTTTTGTCAATGGTGTTTTAGGGACCTGTCCAGAGGATGAGGGATCGATATTAAACACTCTTGAGATGTTTTAGAAAACAGCAAAAAGCAGATCTTATTGACTATGATACAAAACGTCGGGTAATATTCAAAAAGGGTTTTATGAGTGCCAATCTGTGTGATCTTTTTAAGTAGGAACAAAATATTCATCACATCGTAGCTCAATACAATTTTAAGTAATCATTAAAGGGAGGTATATACTATTTACTTATGTCTTACTCTGTTCTAGGTCTATTGCAGGCGTGGACAAAAGCAAGAAGGAACTGAAAGAGAATAACATGGTGGCCTCCTCTACATTGTCATTTGCAGTATATGGAAAGGCCATAACTAAATGATATTTAGAGAAAGATACTTGCCTCTTCGAATTTTTCTGGAGAGAGCTGGGATGGGTGATCCAGCATGGCCCCTCCAAAATTAGCCAAGGATGGGATCTAAGGGAGGGGTCCAAATTGTAAAGGACTGGTGACAATTTTGATAACTATACAGAGAGCGGATTAGGTGTGGGGTGCAATCAATGATAAGGATGGCATAATGTCAAAAGCTTGGGGGCCCTCTAGTGGGAGTACATTAGACAATGCATAAGGCAAATGCAGCACTGATGGGACAAGGACAGTGTCAATTCAGAAGCAGTTTTACTGAGCCTGAGCTCATTGGTAGACATATTAAATGTTACTTAACAGATAAAGCGGAAAGGCCTGCACCATGTAGATTCAGGAAGAGTGCTCACCAAGATCAGAGACTTGGAGTCCGATATTTGTATAATTAGTCTGCATCCAATGCGTAGGGAATCAAATGTATTTACAGAATTAGCGATTACCTTAATTTAATGGCAACCTTCCGAGATGTTCGTATTTCAGTTGTACTTTAATTTTGATGAATTACTAATATTTAATATAATTCTCAGTTCCATAGCAATGGCATTTATATCCACGCATTAAAAAGGAATTGCCAAAAAATACATGGAACTCATGTTACTTAAAGTGGTGCCTCTCATATTGATCAGGAAATGCTGCTTGACTCCGAAACCTATGTAGATCTCATGTACAAATCATCTAAACAAACTCAGACACAATGTCAATGTCGTTCCAATTCTACATTTCCATGCCATATCTAACAGTCTGGAATGGTATGAGAGATTCTGCAATCAGGATTGCAAGTATAGAAAAAGATCCAGGATAAATGCATGAAATGAAAATTTGAGTAAAACCCTCTCATTATTCATGATAGGAATGAGGCTCCTCATAATTATGGACAAGATTCCTAGACCTATGAAATATATATTCTGACCATTTAAGAACTCAGAAATGATGATCTGGCTGCAATCAGGGTGCAAGCAACATACTAATATTTCACTTGATTCAAAGAATGTAATCAGCAAAAGGCTACTCCTTCGCTAGTAGAATCTATACATGTTATCAAGTAACACATAGGAAAACGTATATTGAATATTATCTGGACCAATTACTGTGAACAAGCTGATAATGTTCACATCATGGGTCTGATGGAAGAGTCTCTCTAGAAGGCGTTGTTTATGCTGAAGAAATTCATTTCTCACCAGAAATGAATCATAGCAACATGCTAAATCCAGTAATTATTTCAGCCACATAATGCTGCACCACCATAAGTGAGCTTCATTATTTGACAACCATCATGCAAAATTTTGACAAAGTTTTATTTTGGTTGCCTACCTAACACAAACCAGGGCCTGGGACAGGTTAAGGGAAACTTTAAAGTCCTCACCCTTAATCATTTGATAACCAAGAAGGGAAATATCTAATCAGGAAGATGGGGTGTTCTGTTATTAATTCTTCCATTTTTTAATTAGAAAAAATTAATTGTAAGTGGAAGATGCAAAAAAGTTATAAGAGTAATAATACAGAGCAAGAATGGGTACAGTGAATGTTTGTGATACCAATTGACTGTATAAAAAGCAAGGAATGACCTGAAATAACTTAAAATGTTTTGCAGCTTTAAGTACATCCAAGGAAGTAGCTGAGTTCCCAAAGATATCAGGCAACGCTTCCTCGGTAATTTTTTCAATATCTTCAGGAGTGTAAGGATCCTCACTTAAAAATTCCTGCACAATAGAACAAAAACAAAGATCAACCATGGGGCAGTCAGTAAGTTATGCCTGTTAATTGATCGAGTGAAAAATCCAAAACAGTTCAACAAAATTCCTTTCCTCTTCACAGATTGCATGAGGAACAAATTATTATTGCAGACGATCATGGGAGCAAAGAGAAATTTAATTTGTGCATATTGAGGTGTCTGCTTACAACATGAATGCTGTTAAATGAACCATATTTTTGTAGAAAAAATTCTGCATCCTTTAAGGGGCTATGTGGAAGGATCTCATGACCCCAAATAAATTTTCAAGGCATGAAGTATTTCATTTGGTTAGGTTACACTTGAAGCCTTTGAATTGAATTTTCTTGTATGACACAGCTGAATTCACCAGAACTGAGCTACTGTGCAAGGCTTCAAATCCTCCCAAAATTGATTGTTTTGAGACAAATCACGAATCAATTGGGATGTGGTCCAAATAGTAAGACGTCATGGTTTGTGTGAAGGTGGCTCATTTTTTAACCCTTGAAGTTTGTGCCAAAAGTAAACCAAGCTGACCTACCCCTTTACTTTGAGGTAAATACAGAATATTCCCTCAATGAAGATATTCCGGACTGATGCTGATCTTTATGCAGATGACCTCTTTTAATGGAAGCTCAATTTAACCTTTTGTAGTGAACAACAACAAAGAGATTATTTTACATTCTCTCGAACCAAGGGACAGATATTCCATAGACCTACCACATTCAACAAAGTATATCGTACATCTCTATAATGTACAAACAATCATCCAAAGACAAATTGATAAAATGTATAAATTAGACCAGCACGCTAAATGCCACCATCCTCATTTCAGATAATTTTGATTGAAGGTGAACAAGCAAAATCCTTTTCCTAACATGTTACCATACATTAGCACCAAAGACAATGCTAGGATGGGGATAAAAACCAATAACTAGAAGTACAAACAAGAACACCAATGCATACCTTAACAGCAAGGATAGGATTGGAAGAGCCATGACTACCAGCAAAAGATACACACAACCCTTCAACATCAGAGAGAGTTTTGACGTTCGAGATGGCCTTATTCGGCTCCATTCCAAGTTTGATCCCCAGAACAATCTGCTTCAATGAAGTTCCATTTCATATAGCCGGCAACCAAAAACAAGAACAAGAACATTATGATCTAAGTCAATGATAGAAACAATTTCCAAAGGATTTAAGGAGATATGCGCCTAAAACCTACAAGACACATATTCTTCTTCAGAAACCAGAAAGGTTGACATTTGACTCTTTATCATGTGAAATCAATAAGAAAAAAAAGTCATGAGAAAATATTTATCTATGAATTCAACAGAAAGAAAGTAAAGATGCCATATATTAAAACTTGCCACCAAGAATTCTTTCTTGCAAAGAAAATTAACATTTCCAAAATTAACAACATTAAATTATCCAAAAGCTTTGATGAAACACTTCCAAGCAAAATTGTCTAGACCAAAAAGTGCTCAGTATTGGTTGTCAGATCACCTTCAACACAAAAGGATGCATTAAGAAGTTAGACTTTAGAACAAGCTTCTTTTTTAATAGTTATAAAGGCTAGATTAGACCAGCTGATCTCACTGGTTGGACTGTAAAATAGACTGGTCACACTGGCGTCATTTACAACTTTAAAGCCGTTTGATTTTTGGTAAGCCTCTGATTGCTTCATAATGCAATCGCATAACTTGCATAAAATGGAAGTCCTTGATTATTAACCTTTGGTTTACCATTTGCATATTGATAGATAATCTTAAATTAGTCATCCCTTTACCATTTACACATTGATACTCCTAAATGAATCAAACTCATTTATTTTGGTAGGTTAAGTCAAGACCCTAGCTAAATAAGCCTGGCCCGCCAATCCCTTAATTAATCAACTCTGTAAATAACAATTTTCACTCTTCTCAGTGACTCCTAAGACATTGAACATTCTTAAGAAGATACATAATTCTTTTCTCATTTCTGTGAAATCAATAACAACCCACAGGCACATGGCCATATCTCAACTCCCATACCATTACAAAAGGATGACAGATCTTGTTTTAACTAATTTTAAAGCTATGCAACAATCTAGCAACCCAAAACAAATTCTCCCATGGCATCCAATAGAGTGGTTTTAAGGTGGTTCATCTTCTTTAGTGAAGCAAAGAAGTCAATATTTGAAGTGATTTGCACACTAACCGAACAAATTAGGTCCACTTAACATCAACAAATTGTTGGATACTGATTTGATAGTAGAATAAGAAAAATAAGAGTTTACATTCTCCAGATGAAAGATAAAACAAGAAACAGAAGGAAGCCTGAAACATATTTTTGATATTCATGGAGATTAGATGCCTCAATCTGAATAAATTATTTTCACTTCTGCTGAAATAAAATGTTTGACCTACAGAGGAGCTCAGATTCTCAGAATGGATGACAATATATGGTCAAACTCAAGGAAGGGATAAGAGCTACGTAGAGGACTTTATCTTGATTAGAGGATGAATAAAGCATGCCCCGTTGCCCATAAAAATCACAGGACACAACGCAGAAACTTCGAGATATCTGTCGTTTCTTGCCTGTGAGGAAGAAGAAAACAACAACTTACAGCTGCAAGGCGACATTCTACAACTCGATTGTTGTAATTGGTTGCTGCAGTCACTGCTTTCTGAGATTCTGCCAAGGAGTGTGCAATCACAAATGTCCCACCAGAAGGCAATTGGACATCAGTTGCACGAATTGGATTAAAATCAATAAGCTCAGCAAATCCAGGCTTAGCCATGACAGAGATTGCCTGCCAGAAACATTATGTCTGATAAGCTTCATTTACTTCCTGAACAACATATAAAGGCATTTAAATAAAGAGAAAAAAATCATCATAACTAACCACTAATCAGACCCCATAAAAAGTCTATACACATTTTCTGATGTAAGCTACTTGAAAATAAAATATATCATTTGAGATATAAGCAATCCTGAAATTACAGTTCCGAAAATACCATGAGGTACAACGGAACCAACAGGAATATAAAGTGTTTTTTTCTTTTTTAATTTTAAAACATTTGTTTTATGTATTGAAGCAGGCATAAGTTAACCCCATTTTAAATCCACAAGAAAGAAACTAGCCAATCAAAGAGAGAATTTATAATGAACAAATACATCAGCTTATCCATTGGTCCTGACAGCATATCTTCATTAATATTCCAGGAACTGAAATGGAGCCTAGAAAAAACAATTTGAACTTTTGACTTCACAAATTAAGAAATTAGCTAGTCAATATCAAGAAAAAATTCGCAATAGAAAGCAGGTCAGACGCAACCAAAAAAATACCTTTCTTTTGATATTTTAAGATAAACATGAAAGATAATTTATATTTACTTTTTTAGTTAACAGCAAAGGATGGAGGTTCATCAATTGAAACATGTATAATATTTTTGTTTTTTATGTATTTATATGCATATGTACTTATTGTGTATGGCATGCATATCTATATGCATAATTGCATGTACGTGTGAGTGTATCTATATATGTGTCTGCTTATATGTATTTGCATGTACATGTAACTTTGACATATCCCACTAGCTGTGTGGTTTTACAATACTGGATACATGTGGTAGTATTTCAAGACTGCAGAACGTATCCATATACAAGTTATTAACAACACAAAGAATTATGCAAATCAGTTAGTTGCAACTCAAATAAACCATGTTAACCTTGGGACATTTGCAGAAACACTGTCTTTCATGTTTCTCAATTGTCATTGAAATGGATAACATTTGTAAGATGGTAAGCCACACAATTAGGCATATTAATAAATTCAAGACGAAAAAGATATTAAGAGCAATGGAAGCTTTACCTGGTCCATTCCTCCAGACTGAGTTCCAATATGACGCTCGCAGTCACATGTAAGTTGAGCCACTTCTTTCTGGAGTCAAAAAGGGGGGAGATTTCCAAATTATAAAATACAGGACAAAGCATTTGAAGGATGACCAGGGAGCAATAAAAATTAGATTTTCCAAATATCATGCCCTAATCGACCATCATATCCAATATAAACAAAGAATGGTATATAATAGCAGTCTCTCCATACCAAACAGGGACATTGTATAGCTTAAAAAAGCAAAAAAATTAAGTTGACTATTGGATCAATGAAAATCCAAGGCACAAATAATAAGAGAGGGAAATTTATCATAAAGCACCTAGTAATTAACTATTTATCATATCACCCCTTTCTTTTGATTTAATTCAAAAAGACTTCAAAAGACCTTAATGATAAGTTACAATAGTTGAAATTTTAATAGCGTTTTGTTAAACGGCTAAAATGTCAAATAGTCGATACTTCAGGCATATTTTGATATATTCCCAATAAGAAATGGCTTCAGCATCTTCAACAATCATAGACAGACCTCCTAATAACAATGATTTCCAAAAAATGTAATATGCATATGGAAAAATATGACAGACAGAGATATAGAGAAATTTAGTCACTTTCGAGTAATCAACGAACGAAACTTTGAATCATGTCAAATGCATTTCAAGATCAACATTTGACATGATTCCTGAGCCCTTCAGGAAGATTTTACGGGTTTCAAAAGATTTTCTAGGAAGATATTGCTGACTTTCCTTTTCTGAAAGACAGTTTCATGGAAAAAATCAAAGAAAATGAAAGTCCAGTCAAGACGACTGAAAAACAGAATTCTTTGGCTATTTATTTGTAAAAATAGAATTTATCATTACTGAAGTGGTTGTAGCACTTTATTTTTTGTTAATGAATCCACATCCAGGTTGAAATACTATAATACCTGTTAAAAAAAGAAAAAGGCGTAAGCTTTGTGGAAAACATGAATATAACGAGGGTCCCACCTTTAGGAAATTCACATCAAAGACGGTCATTATAGCGATTGTTGCTGAGCAGACAAATGCTGCTGAGCTTGATAATCCAGACCCTACATCAAAAATATTACTCCCAATTTAGTTAGAGTAGAACGCAAAACCGAACTCAACTGAAAAAGTTATATAACAAAGAATACAACCTGTTGGAACAATACCATCAACAAGGACATCAAGGCCAACTGGCACACCTACGTCAATTCCTTTTGATTTGGCAAATTCATAGTACCCTTTGTACCTGGAAAATAAACTTGCATCATCAGCCCATGCCAAAAATATTTTCTTTTCTTTGGGTGGATTAAAACATACACCTTCCACTTTTTTTTTCTTGATAAGTGGAATCCATACCATTTAAGTGAATACAATGTAAAATTTTATCTTGAACGTGCCAAACAGAAAGAGGAACCACTTGGGTTGGATTTCACAATCACTTTAGCATCTTGGTATCATTCATTTAGGGGAAATTTATCAAAATACCTATGAGAGATGAACTATTTAACATTTTACCCAATTGTCACTATTCCAACTCATGAACATTTGTCTTTTGATGGGTGTTTTGATATTTAATGAAAAGATATGGGTAGAATATTAAATAATTCAGCTCTCATGGGTATTTGGACAAATTTCCCTTCATTTAAAGGGTAATCGCAATAAGAATCAATCATAAGACTAATGGCCAGGTTAATCAATTCATGGCAATATTGAAGGGCTTGGTTGAAGCAAAAGATATGTTAAAATAAGAGGACACAGTCAAAAGGCTTTTGTGCAACCTTTCCATGACAATGCAAGTAAATTGCTTGTTTTAAGGGAGTGACAACACGGGACCTATCCTATATTGAAGGGATGCAAATTGCTTTTTTGTCTCCACAAGGAAAACATCAAAAGGGTTGTTATGGACCTGACAATGGCACCAATTAAGGTCTTGGTCCCATAATGTGAAACTCCAGCAACACACTTTAATGGGTGTTTATGTACAAAGATATCTTTTATCCGCCCAAGCATGTGAGCAAAATTTGGTTTTGATTAATACTTCCATTCAAGAAGTAATGCTAATAGGAAGTTCAGAAGCAAGAATAAACAAAAGCAACCTAGATCACAAGGAAAATAGTGTTCTCACCCACAGATAAAATAGTGCCCCCATTTATGGTCCTTCAAATCAATATTCTGCACAAACCAAGTATCCATATCAACATATGCATCTTTACACAAGTTAAAACTTCCATCATTAGCTATCTACCGAAACCGGAGATATCACATGTGAGGGAGGCAAAATGAAACAATAATATCCAAAACAATACACCTTGCACAAGGTCTCATATTGATGCACATCAGTGATTTCTCAAATAAGAGCTTGTAAGGAGATTTTACAAGGTTAAACCGCATACATTACGAGAAGGATGACCATTGGGCCAAAAGGCCTAACCAAATAATTTTGGTATTTGAAAACCTCTCGATGAATGAAGCAGAAAGAATGAAGCAGAAAAAAAATGTTAAGCTGGGCTAGAACAAAAACTGCAAACTTGAATTTTTTTATTTTAAACAATATATGTGCAAAGTCCTAATTATCATATATCCTAGAGGTTACTTTATATTGCACTATCCAGTTACTGAATCTTCTGTCGAAGATCTACCTGATCGGGATCAGCAGGATAAGTACATGTGGTATATTTGTCATTGACATTTGAAATGGTGAGAACCTTTGCTGCTTCTTCAGATTCATGCTTGCGGATTGCGATAATTGTGTCTTGTCTTATGGCCATCGGGAGCACCGAATAGCCCTCATAATCAATATGCTCTCCAATCAAGTTGACTCGACCTACAAGCATGACCGGTCTACATTTTATTGAAAATAAATTGGAATAACTAAAAGTTTCAAAATTGTATCAAATGTGGTATCTGTCAATGAAGTTACCAATCCATGAATATCCAGCTTTAGAAGTGGAATAGCATTGGTATAAGATTCACCATATTAATACAGTAGCCACATACAATCCAAATTTGATTGATTCAAACACTCCAACGAAATAATGTCATTTTAATCCAATGCTCCCATGAATGACTTAAGATAGAAATTTCTCTGCTTTAAATCCCAAACCAAGTTTGAATAAAGATACTAAACTGCCAGGATAATTCAGTTCCAGTAATTGATTAAAACAGAAACAGACTAATAAATGCCAAACGATGCAACAGAATTCTTTTAGACAAATCAATCAAACTGTAAAAGACTGCCTATTATGTGAAAGATCCTGAAGCTGACTTAACTCCTTAATCGTCAAATACAAATGGATATAAAACAGCAAGCAAATAAACAATTAGGAGATACTATGGCAGGTTGGATTTTTCTCATCCAACTCCCGTTTGAGCAAGGGAAACACCCATTTGAATGCCTTGTACAATAGTCTTCATCCACAACCTTGCAGATCAGAGAAACCAACCCACATAATGACGAAATCAATGGAAAACTGAACAGTCGTCATTTAAAAAATAAAGTGGAAAAATGAACAGTCATCACTTAAAAAGCAAGGTAACAGCATAATACTTCAAGAACCAGATACTAGAATTAGATTCTTCACAAATAAACCAGTCCAAAGAAATGGATTAGCAATCATTGCCTAGCCAACCAATAAAAACATAGTTGTGCATAACAATTGAACTATCAAACACTGGCTCTGGTGCAATCAACAAATAAAACGATCTAAAATAAATCAGTGACCGATTCATTTGACACAAAAATAATACTCAGGTACACTTCCTGAAAATGAAAGTATTACACTTCAACGAGCTAATTACCAAAACACAATTATACAGAAATTATAAAAGAAAATAGCCAAAGCCATGGAGCATTAATGAGAAACTACTCTGAGATTTCAATAGATAAATTTAAAAAAGATAACTATAGTCGGTCCAATCACTAAAAGATCAGAACTTTCCTCACAGATCACCAAACTCAATACATTAATCTTCTATAACCTGATCCAATGACAAATTAACAGCAAATATTCAACAACTTTTGATTCCAAATCCTAAATGATCCACTAAAATCATATTGAAAATCTCTCACCGAACCAGATCATAATCTAACGAAAGAACAAAGGCCAGAGGCCACTATTCTTTTTTTTCCTTGATCGGCAAAACCAGCGGGTACATTTGAATAAAATCATACAAGCAAAATACCTGGAGCTCTTGCATAGACGTCAGGTTCATGCCCATAAATCTGAACAAACTTCGCCTTTAACCTATCAAATCTGACCTTAGCCTCGTCAAGAACAGATCCTTCGCCATAGACAGGTTCCAGAGAAGAATAAATGGGGACCGGGAGGTCTTCATGCGCCATTGCATAAGCCGAGTCAGACCTTCAGGTGAGCGAACGAGAATTGTCACAGTAGAGAGAGAGAGAGAGAGAATTTATAGTACAGCGAGAATAGCAGGTGAATTATTTGGCATTAGACGGTCGTTTTAGAAGCGCTGCCATTACAGAGACATGAGCTAAATTTAGCGGTCCTTCAAGTAATAGTTACAGGTGGCATGGAGCTCGTGGGAGAAAGGAGGGATCTGGACCGTTGGTCCAGGTGTGATGGACGATCTGGAAATCTCGTAACGGTGACTGGCTCGTGTACCGCGCTAATACGGCTGGCGTAATCTGCAGAGTTTCCTAAACTAAAGGAAAAGCTTATACAAAGCCGAGGCTCTAAACCATCAAATTAGAGCCTACCTCAAAAATTTTATTAGAAGAGTTTTTTTTTTCATGCTCAAATATCCTCAAATTGATTATCTCTCCATCACAATTCATAAGTACGAGAAAAAAATAGATTTTAAGTTTTAAAAATAGTGTATATTGTAACGCACTTTTAGACCGTCAATTTTCAAAATTTTCAAAATTTTCAAGTTTTCATAGATCTATCGATCTACACTATTTATAGAGCTTTAAAATTTATAAATAATGAAAATATATTTTAAGGCTGTCACAATGATTTTCAATATTGAAACCAAATTTCTCGACACTATTTGAAGGTACGCTCTAATTTGATTGTGGCTCTGTTAGGATATGGATATCTCGAGGTCAAGGTCTCGTACTATTTACCTCTATATTCAAGAATAATACCATATTTATCTCATGTAATGATGTGATTATCTTTTATATATAGATATATTTATTCATATAAACATTCATCCAAAATAGTAAAGATGTAGCCTGTTGGGCTTTAGATCAGTAAGGTTTCGACTTGAACCACGTAAATATTGTAAATGTTATGTTCTCTCTTATTCGCTCTCCATTAATGTTGTGTTTTATCTTCTTCTCTCTCTATTAATCTTGTGTTCTCTTTTCTTCTATCTGCATTCTCTTCCCATTATCCATTCAATGTTTATATATGTATGCTCCCACAAATTATAATATAGTATGAGAGCAAGGTTCACGATTTGATATTTCATCTCTCAAGCATCGAGTCTTTATTATCAGTTTCTCGTAACGGTGAAGCCCTCATTTCCAATTTGTCGTATTGGTGATGCCTTCATATGTCTATGCATGTATGCTCTCACAAATTCTAACAAACTCTATACAAACTGCACTATTTTTTTAATGTGAAATTTCGAGCCGTTAAAATGGAGAAAGTTTGGGAGCTTTTGGGCGTTGACGTATTTTGGCCTATTTTACAATGATGCAATCTACAAATGCTTCGCTCTCTCTCTCTATCCTTCCTATTTACAAATGAGGAAGTTTGGGAACCTTCTCTCCCTTACTTCATTGCTACTAAGAAAGTGCAATATAATCCACTAAGGGCGTCTTATACTATTGAAGTAAGGTGTACTTCAAAATTATGTTGAAAATGTACCGCAAAGCCCGGTAATGATATGAAAATCTATTGTTTTTCTCAATTATGAAATTTGAATTACCAAAATTGTGCAAACTAATTTATAAACACTTGAAAATATTAAAAATGGAGTGTCCGGATAATATGTCAGAAGATGAACTATTTTTAGGATAAGAAGTCTTTTTTTTTTCATGCCTATGAATCTTGAGGTCGAGATAACCCATTTGAGGGATTTTCAACTTAAAAAAAAGCTTCCTTTTTAGGTGCACTTTAAAAAGGATCCTTTGTTTCCATACTTTTATAGATACTGTGAAAGAGTATCATAATCCAAATGGCAAAAGAAGTTTACAATCAATTGTCCTTAATTGCTTTTTGGAATTTCAAAGTGTCGCATGTATTTGGTCCTATTAGACCTTACATGATCCTCCCTCTCTCTCTCTCTCTTCAGTGTAGCTCTGTTAGCTCAAATCTTCTTTATGGCTTTTGCGAATCTTTTACACAAAAGGGTCTCCTCTCCCTTTCTTTTCCTACTTGAGTTGTATTTAATCCTTAAATGGTCTCTTAACAATAAAATTACACATAAAAATACAGACTATTTAAATCATCCTACTCGCGTCTCCCTTAGACCTTTTCTTCCTTGCTCCATTAATCTATTCTATGGAAAAAAAAAATGTTTAACACGATTATTGTACTTACATCACTTGTAAATTCACAAGTTATGTAAGTACAATTATAGTATTCCAATTGCTATTCGAGGAACATGACCTAAACATCATTCCATATTTTTTTTAGAAAAAATATACAAAGAGATTATTTATTTTTAGTATAAATCGTCACAAGCACTTTTGTCTGTTATGTCTCATACTTTATATTTGTTACTTTATTATTTTTTTGTTCAAGATGTTAGGAATTTATTTATTACAGACCATTAATTAAGATATTTAAAATTATAGAAAGAAGCCATTTCTTACCCAAAACAATATAATAAGACGATTTATCTTTTATAACAAAATGTCATTGTCGCCCTTAATCACTATATGTAATATTGAGCAGCAAGAAGTTAACTCCTCTACGTTGTGGGGTGCTTTATATCCTCTCTTAAATACCCTTATGACTTTAGAAAATCCTTGCTATTATAACTAAGGTGATTACATGCTCAAATATTGCCGAAGCCAAGCTAAACTCCACCAATATCAAAGCAACCCTGGAAAGTAGAATACGGCATTCCGACTAAATGAAAATGCGGGTCCAATTTCGGCATTTTAAATTTCAATGTTATGCTGCATTTCGAATTTCATTGTCCTACTACTAATTAATACTAGTGCCGTGAAACTACTATGATATTTGACATTATGGTTCGGAATCACCCAATTCAGATCGAAAAATTTTGACATTATTTCAGATTTCTCAATATATTGGGAATCGGCTGGGTCTCCCTCTTGAAACCGGTCAGATCTCAGACAAAACTGACCAATTTCGCCAGAATTGGCCAAATGTCTTAGGCCATAACCGATTATGGTCTCAACCGGTTTGAAGGATGAAAGTTTAATAAGTGCATTTTTTTGTTTTTTTTTTCTTTGTAACTGTACTTTTGAAAATTTGAAAAAACAAGGTGCACACGCTCAACCAATCATACCCCAACCAAATGGCGTCACCTTCAATGGGGTCCCCTTGGCATCTCTCTATCTCTCTCAATGCAAACAAGCAATTCCACTAAAATTATATATCTCTCTCAACTAACAATTTCTTCTACTAAATTTGTTTCACATAACTTCTTTAAAAAATCAAAACTCTTAAGTTAATATAAAATCAATAAATAAATTGAACTAGAGATATTTATCTTTTTTATCATGTTGCATTTTAAACTGTATTTTAACTATAAAATAAATTTTAATAGACAACAAATACTCAACATTAGACATGATCTCAATATTTACATTTTTTGACACAATAATGAAAAAAACATAATGCATTGCCACTATTTCTTTTAGAAACCTAGAAAACTATATTTTTTATCACTTATACTTTCTTTTTTTTTAATTCTTTTAGGCCAAGATCAGCAGATCCGACCAATTTTTTATCTGGATCACACCGATCCGACACGATTTTTGGAGTGGTTGATCCCGGTCCAATCCATTTTTTAAACCTTGATGATACCAATGCTCTTTTTTTTCTCAAGAAGACTAGATTTATCAATTTCTTTCATTAAAAAAAATTATAGAAATAATAATTTTCCAAACTCACAATATTATTATATTTGCACATTTCATTTTTAGCTCATTTAATGCTTTGAGTATAAGGAATGGAGCTTGGGCTCAAGTGTGTTGGGAACCAAGGCTTTCTTGATTATCCCTTAGGTACAGTCAACCCCTCCTTACAACAAATTTAATACCTCAAAACCAACTTGCCAATCACCGGGAAATTCATTCTAAGAAATCCAACACCCAAAAACCGTATATGGTATAGTAAATTTGGAAAAAACAAAAGGAATTCAAGAGAAGTAAAAATAGAAAAACTAAAATCACAACAACATACTACAAATAATAATCCAAACGCCATCAACACACAAAAAACGTGATTCACTCCAAATCAGGCTGCATCCATGGGCAATCGGCCATAAAATAATGCACTATCAATAAATAAATATATGGGTTACCTCACAATAGGTGAAGTACCACCGATTTCCCTTTTCAGTACCATAAAAAAGCCATTTATCCCACCTCCATTTTCTAATCCATCTCCACGGATATGCCGTCAATAGAAAGTACCGATGCAACTGTCCAAAATATGACACATTAATAGCTAGGGTTTTACCTTAAAATCCCAATTTCTATCTAACAAGAGCTCTCCCTCATAAGCTTTTCACTTTCTTATGTTTTCGCTCTATGCTTTTATATGCTTTATACTTTTTCATTTGGCCAAAAATTTCCCTCACTTTGAGGGAAACACTACATGCCAAATGACATGAGGTTTTGCATAATTATCCCAACAAGAAAGTTAGTAGGCGTCATTTAGCAGCACTATATATCAAGTAACTACTTAAAAACAGTGCTTTGAATACAAATCCCTACCCTTTTCAAAGTCATTTGCCACTATTCAAATAGTTATTAAGGAACATTACTTTATGTCTCTCACACTTTTGAATACAAGGTGGGTTATAAAGCCGCACCTCAAAATCCAATCTAATCGGATAACGTGGTTCCAGCTCTAAAAAATCGATGATTGGCCTAAAATTTCATTCTCCTACTCATTAGGAAATATGATGCTCCAAAATGGTACTGATGGATAAACATTTGAAATTGAATGAAATAAAATGTCTGACGATACAATATTATAAATTATTCTTTAGATCCATGATTGTTGAAGGCAAGACATCTGATTTGATAGTCTACATCAATAAAACTTCAATTTGTAGTGGAATTTCAAAGTATAAGTTTTCTTTTTATTTAAAGCTCATGCCTTAATATAAAAATTTTCCATTACATTTAATTAACTGAACTTAAAATTATAAAGCATCATTAGAATTTAATAATTATTAATTTGAAAATTAAAATCATTGGGACTTAAAGAGAAGACCTGATTAGACAAAATTTTGACTCAGCATAAAATGCACCGAAGAGCAAACTCCCACTCGTGAGGTAAAAATGAAATAGAAAAGGTGCTCACAAT